AATTAGGAATTAGGATCCATATGTTATATCTTAATATAATAAAGTAGATAATCTCATCGCCAATTTGTGTTTTTTTTTTCAAATGTTCTCTTAAACCTATGCTTGATCTGCTTATAGTTCGCGACATGTGGCCACGAAATAGACGTAACTATATAAATAAATCATATTTTTCTTTATTTTGTATGTATAGCATACGTTCTTTTTTCTCTTTTAAAATATAGATTTTTATCACATAAAAATCGTAAGCAGATTGGTCGGATTTCGGGTAATGCAGGCGTTTTTAAATCCCGCCTTAAGCATGATTGAAACATTAATTCGCTACTGTCAAAACAAACAAATTCACAGCTTTGGAGTATAGGTTACAAGCGCTCAGCGTGATGACTTTTTATTAGTACATTAGAAAATACTATAACATAATAGAATTTTTTATGGAAATACACGTTTCATTATGGAATACCGTGATAGCACAATTCACCTTTCGCATCATATCCGCCGCTGTGCACCACGAGATGCTGTATAAAATAAAATACATTTAATTTGAATTCTTTTTTTATAGAATAACAAACGAGCACACAGTCAACCTTATGGTAAGTGGATAATGTGACCCATGAACATCTAAATTTATCCTCGATTATGAATCAAATATGTATATGTAAATAAGATATGTTGTCACCCCTGAGGACTAAGATGGAATGCCTCGTTTATAGTAAAATAGGGTCTCTGGATCTCTACACTAACCATACGAAACACAGCTGTATTAAGCTGCTATTTTACGCTGGTATTCTGTGAGAGCGTGGTTCACGCAGGACCACGCTGTAGCCATTCATGCTGCAACACACAGAATATAGCTGTAGCATGGCTCTACCACGTATAAAACCTTCTTGTACATATACAGCTTTTATATACTGTTATATAATGTTCTTTTTCGTTTATCAGCTATTATTAAAATATGTAAGGTGATTTTACAAATTTTAATAATATGTGCTTATCGAGGTGTTAACAAAACCGATAAGTGTACAGTTTTCACATTTTTTTATAAAAAGAATCCATTCCTCAACAGAAAAATTATGTTTACGTCTAAACGATATAAATTAGAAATTATTATACATTTAGAAATCCCTTATTTTGTGAGTCGACTTATTAGACGTCTGTGTGCGGTCATATTTTAAAGCTCTAAATGTGATACGGCTTCCAACTACTTAAACCGCTAATCGCTCGCGCTCATTACTCATACCGCACGCCGCGGATATTTTGCGAGTATTCCCCAGACTCGGCGCAGTTTCCGAGAGACGACCATTAATCTAAACCGCTATTGTTTTGAAAAACTACACTCGCATTGTTTCAAGGATCGCTTCGTGTTTTATTTGTGTTTTTATTGAGCGTACACATCTCGACGAGGAATCGGTCGCAATTGTATATAGATTTTTCATTTCGCCCGTATGGACCTTGTTTCTTGACCACGTAACCGATTGCAGTGCGATTGGCTTTTTCAATGTTTTGTTTATTTTAAAAATAAAATGGGTCAGTGCAGCTTTTTTCCAATAAGAAAGATTGGTTCACTTTACCAGCAGAACACTTTTTTTTAATAAAATGGATTTCATTTTATTGCGTTGTAGTATTTTTTAAAATCTTTGTAATGTTTTCTACTACGACATCATAAAATATACTCGTTTAGGAAAGCATTTTGTATACTTTTATTTTTGCTTCGCTGGGTAAAAAGGTGCTAGCGTTAAAGTGTAAGTTAGACTTTGTTGAATTGTAAGAAGTTGATATTCATTACTTCTTAAATTTCTTATTATTAGAATTCATTTAAATTCGATTTCCATTTGGCCCTAAACATAATGTTGCGCGCCATAATTAATGCCTGGTACATGGCACTAGCGCCATTTAGTATCGAATAGCAGAACTAATCCTTCTAGATACTTCCATACTAGAACAGTCTACACCTAGTCGATCGGGGCCGGTATGTGCTCGAACATTCTAAATGTTTTAGTGGAAAAGGCCCTATATATGGCCAGTAAGGACCGCGACCGAGTCAGTATTGAAATGGCGATAAAAGCTAATACTTCGAAGCGATGTAACTGCAAATTAAAGTGCAATTATGTTTTATTATTAGTGTGTGTTTAAGTTCTGCTTAAAGTGTCAATTTTAGTAATTCAATCAGCAGTTTTTATTGTTAGGAACCCCAAGCTTGTAACAATAATTTGAAAATAGAGTCGAGATGGCTCAGGGGCTTAGCGCTTGCTGTAAATTTCACAATACGTGAGCAACCCGGCTTCGTTTCCCGCCAATACCAATGAAATTGTGAGTTACAATTTTAAGTGCTGATAAATGTCTCAAAAACTAAGAACAAACTATTCCGAAGACATGTAAAGTCCACCAACACGCTCAGACTCTACAACTCTTTCAGTTATGAGAGGAGGCCTGTGCCTAGAAGTGGGACAAAAAAACGTTGTATCATCTTTACTACTCCTAGTTCAAATAAATGCATTGTTTTTACTTTTCTGTACACCAGAATTATTCGGGACAAACGCGAACAAACCAACACGGTTTAGTTACAACGCGAAAGCTTATCCCTTAAACCTCAACTAATTTATTTTAATATTTACTAGACATTATTGAAACACCGTCTAACACTAATATTGACAATTTTTACGTTAATAAAAATATTTTTCATTTTCTCTATTAAAACTCTTCAACGTGGTGTAGTCAAAATTACGGTGGGAGCTTTTTTTGCGAATAATTTTCCAAGCTAGTGGATTTAATTAACCGAAATGTTTACGGCAAACGTTCCGGCGCTTACGTAGGATTTGCGTAAATTTTCAGATTTTAAATTTATATTTAAAATATAGTTATGCTATCCCTAAAATTCTTCACCGCTACATAGGAAGACATTTTCAAACTACTGAACTGGAAAGGATACGGTGTTAACATCAATAGCGAATACATCACTCACCTTCGATTAGCCGACGATATAGTTCTTATGGCAGAATCGCTGGAGGACCTAAGCACTATGCTCAATGACCTCAATACCAACGAATAGGTATCAAGCAATCTTAAGAGAACGTGGACAAAACTTAGATCATGTGGAATGTATTTGTCAAACCTATGCCGGTAGTTGTTAGGAGCACTAAGCTCGCGAAGTTATTTATGAGTTCGTTTATCTGATTCAAATAGTTCGACTAGGTAAGTCCAACTTCGCCGAGAGCTCAATCTACGGATTCAACTCGGTTGGGCAGCGTTCGGGAAATTACGACACATCTCGTCAGGTATGCCTAAAAACCTGAAAACGAGATTGTACAACCAGCGCGTGTTGCCAGTGTTGACATATGGCGTGATTCTTCACTGCTGGCCATATGAGGACGCTAAAGATCACTCAGCGAGCTATGGAGAGGGATATGCTCGGAGTTTTTCTGAGCGATAAACTTAGAAATGAGGACATCCGCAATAGAACCAGAGTGACCGACATAGCCCAATCTTATAAATATTGTAAAAGTAAGCTTAAGTGGCAATGGACCGGCCATATAGCTCGTAGAACTGACAACCAATGGAGAAAATTTTTTCTCGAGTGGCAGCCTCGTACCGGTAGGCGAAGTGTAAGGCGACCCCCCACTAGATAGAGTGACCGCCAGATGAGACATGCAGAAAGTCGATGGATGCAGGTGGCTCCGCACCGGTTTTTGTGGCATTCCTTGGTAGAGGCCTATGTTCAGCAGTGAACTTCTAAGTATATGTAATAATGATGATTGATTAATGATGATAATGCTATCGTTAAGAACATTTCGCTTTTTGATTATAAATTTAATAGTCTTGATGCGAGTAGTTTTTTTTATTAATGACTAAGGATGACCGTTTAGCAGTCAGTCAATTAGAGCGTGGATTTTGACTTTTGAAATTGTAACCCAGGTTCGTACTTTTTTTATAGGAGAGCAAACGCGCATACGGCTCACCTGATGATAAGTGACTACTTTTAGAAAGGAGTTAGAGAGCTCTATCCTTGAAGATCCGGAAGTCGTATCGGTCCGAAAAAATCGCCGGTGGTAAACTATTCCACAGAGAGTTCGTACGCGGAAAAAAAATCTCTAGTGAAACGTACATTGGTGGACCGCCAAGCATCCAAATGGTGTGGATGGTATCGGGAGTTTTGCCAACGGAATTTAGCGGCCGGGATTAATCCGAACAATCCCTTAGAGCACTCCCCGTGGTAGATGCGATAGAAAATACAAAGAGATGCAACATCTCTTCGCAGCGCCAGTGAATCGAGCCGATCGGATAGCACTCGATCGTCGACGATTCGAGCCGCTCTGCGCTGGATGCGGTCAAATCGTCGGTCGAATCACGAAGGGGCGTATCCCACAAATATTCGATTTTTAGTTATCTCCACCATCGTAATCTATAAGGCAAGTTTTATAGCGTCACGAAAGGGCGTAATTTAAAACACACCGGAAACAGATTTACAAACAATTACGAAAAGCCCTATCTGCTATTCATCCCAATTTAAAAATCACGAATAGTCGTATCCACCAGTTACGCCTATTCTTACCTGTTCCCATGCAATTTTTTTTCACGAAGAGGCGTAACCTATCTAACGTGATTACGCGAGTGAAACAATGACAGGTCAAGACGTGTTAAGCAGTCGAGCGAAGTTAGTTGCAAGTTAATAAGGTGCATTGTTTGTTTACGAATATTAAAATTAATAAAATTCTGTCTTCAAAGTGAATGAATACTTATTTTAAGAGTTACTTTTATTTGTGTTTTATACAAATCACAAGGTTATTTTACAGTAATGTACCTATTGCTTTTAAACGCATAGTTACCTAAAAGATGAATTAATATTTTAGGTTAAAATTTTAGAAAAGTTATTTATTTGTTATTGCAATGTTTTGTTACCTAAACCATAGTTTAAATAATATGCAAGTTACAATGTCAGTGTTTAACTATTCCTAAATGTGACAGTGTGTAATTAATTTTCTTATTTACGGTTAAATTATTCTTTACAGATACCTACTATCTACTTAACTTTCTGTGGGATGGTTTTTCAATGATGGACGTGTTATTTACATGGAAAGATGGCACTCAAAATGTTGTACACACACGGGAATTATTTCCAATCAGAAAAGGTCAGAAGATAACACTTGGTACAAAGGTGAAAATGTTGTATGAACGAAAATGGTGGTATGGTACAGTAACTGTTGTCGAAGCAAAAGAATACTCTTCGTCTGAAGACGAACCACTTTCAACTTATGTTCCTGCAAACCGTGTGCAAAATTGCTGCGAGTACATTAACTGTCATAATCCTATTTTGACTACTTGTACGGAATGTGCTTGTTTCTTGTGCGCTGAACATTACCAAGAAGACGCTTCCTGCTCTAATCATATTTTAGTTAGCAATAACATATCCACATCAAAAAATCAGGATACCAGCTATGAATTATCATTAACCAATTCAGAAAAAAAAATTTATGATACAGTATGCACTGATGAAAATTATATAGATATACAGAATGAATACCAAAAATGCTGTCAGTTTTCGATTTGTACTGATGAGGTATTTAGTGCATGCCATCGTTGTTCATGTCTCCTTTGTTATGAACATTTTGTCAACAATTGCTCTACCTGCGAAAATCATCTAAACTTTGAAGCTGACTTGACGTTAACAGAAACTTTAAAATTTGATTTTGGGCAAACTGATATGCAGCAGACTTGTGAATATGCCAACTGCACTAACCCTGTACCAACGACATGCTTTGCTTGTTCTTGTTTACTGTGTGATATTCATTTTGCGTCTGTGCTTTATATGCAATCATGTTCTGATCATAAAAAAAATCCTGCCTCGCTTGCTGATTTCGATATTACCGAAATTGAGAATGTTTCAAATGATTCTGATGCAACTATGGTCTTATCTGACACTCGCGACTCACCCAGTATTTTAATGCAGAATACAGTTTTGGAACCACAACAAGACAGTTATTTGGCCCCAGAAGACTTTATAGTAGAAACCTGTTAGAAAAAATAAATACAAAGAAGCCAAGGTTTTGCGACACGCAGGACAAGAATATATTTCGCCATATACAAAAAAAGTAGTTCCTGGAAGGAAGGTTGGTTCATTATGCAATAATTTAGAAAATTGCACAAAGCAAGGCCTGTACTGTTATCGTTTTAATGAACAAATACGCGAAAATATATTTATGGATTTCTATTCATTAGCAGATCTAACTTTGCAAAGAGAATATATAGTGAGATTTGTTGAAAAAAAGCCCGTAGGACGCAAAACTACTGCCACAGAATCTCGTCGGAAGTTTACCAACTGCTTTTACTTACCATTAAATGATGAGAAGCAGAAGGTATGCAAGAAAATGTTCCTCAATACTTTGGGAATTTCAGAAAAGACGTTTCGCACAGCTTTGCAAAAATTAAAGAACACCGGTGTAGTAGAAAAAGACAGAAGAGGAGGAAGGCAAGAGGTCTATCATGAAAGGGATACTCAGCTGCGATCACTCATTACTGAACATATTAACAGATTTCCGCGTGTTGAGTCTCATTATTGTAGAAAAAGTAGTACAAAAGAATATCTCCACCATGATTTATCTTTGAAAAAAATATATGGTATGTTTTTAAAGGAGTATAACCAACCCGTAAGTATGACACTTTATAGAAATGTATTCAAAGGCATGAATTTATCGTTCCATAAACCAAAAAAAGACCAATGCAGTTTATGCATGACATACAGAGAAGGTACAAGCGAGGTGAAAGAGAAGCTGCAGAATAAATATGATGCACATATTATAGAAAAAGAAGAAGTACGACGAATTAAAAACGAATGCAAGAATCGAGCAATACAAAATATAACCACTTGTTGTGCTTCGTTCGATTTACAGCAAGTCATCTATTTGCCACAATCCAATGAAAGTGCTCTTTTTTATAAAAGACGTTTGGCTAATTATAATTTCACAATTTATGATTTAGCCTCCAAAGACTGTATATGCAACTTATGGAATGAGACAATCAGTAGAAGAGGTGCCTCTGAAATTTCTACTTGTGTTTATTATTTCTTAACAAATTGTGATAGAAAGAGTGTGAAAGAAGTATTCTTATTTTGCGATGGCTGCTCAGGCCAGAATAAAAATTCCGTGATGGCGGCTATGCTCTTATACTTAATAAATAATTGTGAATCTATTGAAGAAATTAGTTTACGATACTTCTGTTCGTTCCATGGGCAAAGCGAGGGCGATTCTGTCCATAGCGCGATAGCATTTGCAATGGCAAAGGCTGGGAACGTCTTTGTTCCATGCCAATTGGAGCCGATCATACGATTGGCACGCAAAAATCCATACGAAGTCAAGGTACTCAATTACAATGATTTTAAGGATTTTAAAAATCTTGCCTTAAAGTTAAGGTTACTTAAATTAAAAAACGATAACCAGACAGCCGCCCTCTTTAAATGGACAGATGTTATGGAGTTAAAAGTCTCACGAAAGTCTCAAAGTAGTCTATTTTTTAAAACGAGTCACAAGGATAAAGAATACAGATCGATATCAATAAAAAGACAAGATGTTAAATGGCTGAAGGAAGAGGTGGGACATTTAAATAAATCTCATTATGAGATATCTAAAGAAAAATATAACGATTTAATTTCTATGTGCAGGGGAGAGACCTCTTTGATAAGATGCCGGGAATATCAAACTTATTATGAAATCCTACCACATCAATAAGATATTGTTCCATTACTTAATATTACAGTCTTTCTTTATTTAATAGTGTTTTAATTTATAGTCTTTTATTTCTTTTATAGTTAAGATAGCCGGACGTAAATGTTATTTTGAAATATTTGCACATGACAAAAGGGCGTAAGTGAATTTTTTTTTCAAAAAAAAGGAAATATATCTACAAGTAACTAAAGTAAACTAATAAACTAATTTAATATCAAAAGAGGATTAGTTATCAATCCTAACGACAGTCCTGTAAACTGCGTAGTAGTTTTACATATAAAGTTACGACGGTGCATCACGGTGGACTTTATTGAAAATCGCTCTACTGTAAAATTGACTAAAATCACTTACGCCCCTTCGTCATTCGACCGACGAAATGGAAGGAGCTGTTGCTGCTCAGATGAGCACGCCAAGCTTTTTAGAGTCCAATTTGGCCTTCTCTTCTAAGTGACCACGGAACTGAACATAGTGTTGCACTTTTGCTAATGTCGAGTAATAAGAAATTATCTTTTATTTTTTTTTGTTTTAAATTTCTTTTACAACGTGTTGATGAGTCATATTGCGAAGGTTTAGGGAGATTTTAACGGCAGCTTGAGCCTGAGCCAGCAGGTTGTCGATAACAATAGTATCTCAAGGCCTCAAAGTAGACAACAATAACTTGAAGCTCAAATCCCACTATCAGCACTTGTTTGTATGTTTCTTTTTATGTGTGTTACGCGATATCTTTTTAGATTGAAAACCAATTTTGATGACTTTTTTATTGAGTAGCTTTTTTACTTCAGGGTTTGTCCCATATTTTTTGATTTATGGAGAATATACGTTCGGGATGAAGAAGCAAGGCAGTGAAGTTTTACATGTAACTATTTATACCACAGAAATCTAAATAATAAAGTACTAGAAATGCCTTCTACTATCTTATAATATCGGGACGTGTGTCGCCTGTTCGCGCAGCTATCACATATAGACAAACAATAAAAACACAATTTCGCCTACACATATCTCTAGCATTCGTACAACAAAGATTAAACTACAAATTATTGCGTTAAGGAATAATTTATAAAAACGCAAAATCTCAGGAGGCGTAGTCCCTTGGTCCAATAATTAACGTGTGCGAAAAACAGAATGACATTGCGCGCCCACTCTCACTTGGGCATAGTGCGGCGCTTCGCACGTTTTGATAACTTTTTATTAAGCGTCGTTGATCTTTCATGATTCTCACACCAAAATATAATTAACTGAAATTTTTTTCAGTAATGGACGCTTTTAGTCTTAGCTTTAGCTTTTAGACGTTTTATAATTAAAGAAAAGGGGACATAATAAAACGTTAAGGATAAGTATATCCATATATATATATATATATATATATATATATATATATATATATATATATATATATATATATATAGATTCTTCAATATAACTAATAATAAAGCGTCAGTTTTCCTGTGTATAATATAGTTTT